GAGGCCGTGGCGGCGCTGGAGGCGGTGGCCGCCGCTCCGCTGGAGTCCCTCGGGGCCGCACAGGTGTCCGCAGGCGACGCGGTGTCGCAGCTGCAGACGTTGGCTCAGCCCCTTTTGGACGTACAGGCCGGCATCCAGCAGCTGGCGCAGGTGAGATAACTGGCGTCGTTTGGGGGAAAGTGGTGGTGTTGGTCATGGTGTTGTTGTTGTTCTTGGATTTGCTATTGTTGTTATTGGTGGTATGGGTGGTGGCTTGCACGCTAGCAACTTGTTCATTTTGTACACCCTCACATAGGTTGTGTTGTTGGGAATCCGATATTCTTGTTCTCCATTCTGTACTATTAGATTTTTGCATTTGTATTCCCCGTCACATTGCCGAAAGTGTCTCAGTCGTATCTATCCGTTATATTTGCTTTGTTTCATGGTCGAGCGTATTCGTGATATGTTTAGGCTCACTTGCAAGAAGAGGAAGGCTTAAATTTTTAATTTTCATAGAACAAAAATATATTATTGTACATGAAACATGTAGAATTTTCATATATATTTTGTCGTGTACTGTTTTATTCTTCGGCAAAACTTTCTACGCATTGAATAGAATTGCGGTCAATTCTTTTGTGAATTATTATCTCTCTTATACAATAGAGAATAGAGAAATTTTCAATGTCTTTGATCTTTCTACGTATTTCATCTGTACAAGCATAATTGAGCATCTTGTGCAGAAGAGGCAATGAAAAACCTTCAGGTCATCCTGCAGTCAGGCTGTTTACGTTTCTAAGGCGAACTGCGCGCTTCGCTCTTTGTTGTAATCAATTTTGAATTGAACAACATTGAAAACTGAAAATAAATGTTTTTCACAAAAAAACACAGAAACAATATAAATACTGTATTTCTTTTAAGAAAACACGCTGATAAGATTTTGATTGTGTATATACCTTAAAAGCTATAAAAGAGTCTTAAATATAAAAATTCAACTGAATATCCCACTTTTTAAAGTAAGACTGCGCTTGTCGCATTGTTCGGCCGCACTCACCAACTTGTTTGACCCATATGACCTTACTGTGCTATTAGGGTGGAAAAACTGGCAATTTATTTATCCTATTTGCCCACCTAAGGGTAGAGCTCGTGAGCGTTAAGGACACTTACCAAGAAGCCAATGAAACTAATGTACAAAATGTTTTCTCTAGTAGTGGAAGTCATTCAATATCTCAACTGAAAACGTTAAAAGAACTATAGATTAACAAATACATATAAATTGTAAATTCAGAGTTAATTAAAATTCGTTTATAAGTAGTCGGCCAAACACTATACCAAGAGCCTTCATCCTAGAAATATCGTGATTAGGCTATTTTATTTTTAGACTGTTCTTCGCCACTCTTCCGCATGTCTCTTACACACATCCTCCCAGGCGAAGTAGGAGCCGGTCATGTTTTGGGGTCCCACAGCGAGCAGCCCTGGCGGGAAATTGCTACCTTCAACACTGGCCCCCTGATTCTGGTGGTACATCGTTAGCCAAGTTAGACCGCAGTGAAGAGTCAGGTTGGGAACTCCACCCCTCCTAACGGACGTACCAACCCGGGCGGCCTCAAGAGAGGCTCTTGGCTTCGTCGTGACAGCGCCCGATACTCAGTACGGTGACCGTCACTGCATTGAGTAGACAGCAACGCTACCAACCCGGGAAATTGGGAGTCTTGAGCTGGAGAGACGGCCTCCCTCAGTCTGTAGATAGATGCGCGTATCACGATAACCTCGGCCGGATAAGACGGTCCGCGCGTCCACCCTTTGGTAGTGAAATCTCCCTGGTAAGGCTAAGTGTGTGCCGCAGGTGGCGCTGGAGGCGCCAGCGCAGGAGATGGCGACGCTGCGCTCGCAGCTGCAGCCGTCGCAGCTGCAGGCGCTGGCGCACGCCATCCAGGAGGCGCAGCGCGGCCTGGTGCAGCTGCAGGTGGTGGCGCTGGAGGGCGAGGCGGCGCCGCTGCCGCCACTGGCGCCGGAGGCCGCGAAGCGCGTGCGCGCCCTGGCGCAGCCCCTGCTCGAGCTGCAGCGCGCCGTCGCCCAGGTGGCGCAGCAGCAGGTGAGCGCGGATCTGATGGGAGCCTTTGATTTCAGTGCTTTCATTTCATTTCTCTTCATTTCACTACACTATATTTCATTTCATTTCGTTTCACTGTTTTTTCACAGAAAAACTACAGGAACTATATGTGACTTATGGGGGAGGTATAATATGCCCACGTTTTCTTGACCTCCGGAATCTCTTCTGCACTCTTTTACCATAAATAGTTGGATAATGATGAGTAGTTTATAGATAACAAAATTCAAATGATAATTGAAGTATCTACATTGTTAAAATATTTGTTGTATGGGAACGACAAGGTTTTCTGTGATATTTTCCTTGAGGTATGTGCTTGTCTTCTGGCAGTATAACGTAGTATTCGTAAATAAATTATTCGTGAATAAATTGGAAGTAGGTTTAATTTAGTTAGCCTATTTTTCCTACTTCCAATTTATTCATGAATTTGATTTCATTTATTGGTATGTAAATCACTTGCAGTTTGACAACTTACATCGCATTCTCTTCTCTATAAACTGAGGAAAATACCCTATTTGGGGAAAGGTAAGGGACAGGTCATTTCTTCTTGACCTCAATGTGCACCTCTACTTCACTGTTTGCTTGACCTCATTTTGGGGTCACTTCTCTAAACAGACATAAACACTAAGCCACTTCCAGTCTAAATATCTCTATACTGAATTTTCTAACAGACTTAATAGTTCTCTTGTAGGGAATCTGTGCATTTACCCCTTCCATGTCAAGTATATAAGATGTATACTTGAAAAGAAACGTAGGTACCATTTTCTCGATTTCAGCCGTATTCGATGCCTAATCATCAGACTATCTAGAAGATCCACCGCTCCACAATTTTTGTACAACGTAATCAAGTTTAGACATTCAACTAGGACTTCTTCCAACCTTTTTCTATCATATTGCGTCATATTTGTGTTACAATTGTTGCCTTCGCGAGTTCTTTTGGCTACGGTGGGTGAGCGGCAGCGCTCTGGCTTACTAACCTGAAGGACTGTAAGCCGACGTAGGTTGGGATTGCTATCTGGTGATTTCCATTCACGGTGGCTCTGGAGTCGACTAAGCCTTCTTGAAAGAAAGTAGCAGGATCTTTGCTGGGGGTAAAGGAGCGCCCGGAGCGTTGTGCCGACAGCGACGAGGAGGTGGAGCCCTACCTTCACCTCCCTCTGGGCCACAATTCGGCCTCGGCTCTGTGTGCAATTGCACAATTAATAGTGTCATTAATTTGATGCAACAGTGGTCCCTAATGGCCTAGATGTTGATGCAACCGTAAATAATAAAAAAGACAAAAATAAATGTAAATGTTTAAACGCTTCACGAAATATTTCTACTCACCATAAGCTACAAAATATGGGCTACACATTTTTCCATCAGTAACGGACCTACAGATTTGATTTTATAGTGTTCGTAACAAAAAAACAATCCACACTCGCTGAGAATTTTACAGTAACTAGCTAAAGACGATACTAAAAGAGCGCGAAAGAAAGCGCATGATTTTCAAAAGCAACTTGTGTGTAAACTATATGATGATTTCCACTAAAGTGGATAAGGTAGTCAAAACTTTTCTCAGTGTATTCAAAACGTTTATTTTTCCATTGCCTTCGTCAATACACATTTTGACCTCCTCAAAGCTAGATTATTGTTTTTAAAGCAATACAAATATTCTTTAGTAGAGTTTATTACTGAAAAATTTATTATTTCTTCGTTAATGAATAATGTTTTATTTGTAATGAATATTCCATTCACAATTCAAAGTAGTGCATTACATATACTCAATGATATGTTCATCTAATTGTTAACATGATCATCTAATTTAATGGCAAGTGTCTTGTAAACTACGCAGTAATACTCTACTATGCAGTATTTTGTATTGATTTAATTTAATTCTAGCACTGAAGACGCCAAGCTCACTATTGACGAGATAATAATCTGATAAAACGTATAGTTATAGTAAGTAATGTTATTGGAATAGGTACATATACTTAATATTTTTATGATTGATTCAGCATTTTTGAAAAAGGAAGAAGGTCGGGAAGGGACGGGGTAAGACACGTTTCGGCAGACCTGCAGTGCTACAAACCAGTTGACGCAATCCAAGTTGAAGGCGGCGACCCGCTCGCGTTGCAGGCGCTGGAGTGGGGCGAGGCGGCGGAGGACACGCTGCTGGACGACCTGCCGACGCTGGCCAGCTCGGTGTCCGCGTCCGCGTCGGCGCGCGCGGCGCTGCGCGTGGCCCAGCCGCTGGCGCTGGAGGCGCTGGAGGGCGACGCGCACACGCTCTCCGACGAGTCGGAGGGTCGCTTCGGCGACTTCGCCTCCGCCGCGCAGCAGCTCACCGAGCCCAGCGCCGGCGGAGGCGGCGGCGGCCACCCACTCGCGCTGCACGTGCGGCCGCCGCCGACGCTCGCTCGGCTGGCGGAGGTGCGTTTTTCCTTCTTTAATTTCTTTCTTTCTTTCTTTGCTTCTTTTCTTTCTTTCTTTCCTTTCTTTCTTTCTTTATTCGTTTATTCGTTTTTTCGTTATTCGTTTATTCGTTTATTCGTTTAATTCGTTTATTTCGTTATTCGTTTTATTCGTTTAATTCGTATTATTCGTTATCTTCGTTTTATTCGTGTTATTGTTTATTTCCGTGTATTCGTTTATATCGTTTATTCGTTCTATTCGTTTATTGCATTTATTCGTTTATTGTCGTTTTATTCCGTTCTATTCGTTTATTCGTTTTATTCGTTTATTCGTTTATTCGTTTTATGTCGTATTATTCGTCTTATTCGTTTATTGTCGATATATCGTCCGTTTATTCGTTTAATTCGTTTATTGTCGTTGTATTCGTTTATTCGTTTACTCGTTATCTCGTTTATTCGTTTATTCGGTTTATTCGTTTATTCGTTTATTCGTTGTATTCGTTTATTCGTTTATTCGTTTATGCTCGTGTTATTCGTTATTCGTTTATTCTGTTTATTCCGTTTATTCTGTTATTCGTTTATCTCCGTTTATTCGTTTATTCGTTTATTTCGTTTATTCGTCTTATCTCGTTCCTTTCATTACGTTTTATGTCGTTATGTTTTATGCGTTCTATTCGTTTATTCGGTTTTATTGTTTACTTCGATTTATTTCGTCTTATTCGTATTATTCGTCTTATTTCGTTTATTCGTTTATTCGTTATTTCGTTTATTCGTTTATTCGTTTAGTTCGCTTATTCATTCGTTTATTCGTTTATTCAGTTATTAGTTCGGTTTTATTCGTTTATTCGTCTATCTCGTTTACTTATTCGTGTGTTATCTCGCTTTATTCGGTTATCTCGTTTATTCGTTTATTCGTTTATACGTTGTTTACTTCAGTTTATTCGTTTATTCTGTTATCGTTTATTCGGTTATTAGTCGTTTATTTATTCGTTATAATATCGTTTATTTCGTTTATTTATTCGTTCTATTCGTTTTATTCGTTTTATTCCGTTCTATTCGTTTTATTCGTTTATTCGTTATATTCGTTTATTCGTTTATTCCGTTATTGTCTGTTATTCGTTTATTCGTTATTCGTTTATTCGATGCGTTTATTCGTTTATTCGTTTATTCTGTTCGTGTTTGTTTTATATTTCTTTGTTTGTTGTTATTCTCTTTTTCTATTTGTTTTTTTTTTTTTTAATTCGTTTCGTTTACTTCTTTCTTTAGTTCGTTTATTCGTTTATTCGTTTACTTCGTTCTATTCGTTTATTCGTCTTATTCAGTTTATTCGTTTCGTTTAATTCGTTTATCGTTTATTCGTCTAGTCCGGTTTATTCGTTTATTCGTTTATCTCGTTTATGCTTACTTCGTTTTTCGTTTATTCTAGTTTATTCGTTTATTCGTGTTATCTTTCGTTTATTTCGTTTGTTTATCGCTTTTTCGTCGTTTTCGTTTACTTGTTATTCGTTATGTGTTTATTCGTTTATTTTAGTGTTCTATCGTATCTTTACTATCTCGTTCGCGTTTTTATTCGTAATCGTACTTTATTCAGTCTATTCGTTTATCGTTTTTCGTTTATTCGTTATTCGTTATTTCGATTTATCTCTATTGTACGTTGTCTTTATATGTTGATCGTTTTCATTCGTATCCGTTATCTTATTCGGTTTTTCTATTCGTTTATTCGTTTATCGTTTATCGTTTATTCGTTTATTCGTTTATTCGTTGCTTCTTCGTTATTCGTTTCCTTGATTCGTTTATTCGTTATTTATTCGTTTATCTTTATTCGCTTTATTCGTATCTTTATTCGTTGTTCGTTATTCGTTATCTTTAGTCGTTTTTCTTATTTTATTCTTTCGTTATTCGTTTATTTCTCATCGTTTTCGTATTCGTTATTCATTCTTATTCGATAGTTTTCTATCGTAGCTTATTCGTTTCTTATTCGTCATTCGTTATTCGTTTATGCGTATTCGGTTATTCCGTTTATTCGTTATGTTCCTATGTTATTGTTTATCGTACTTCTTTAGTTAGTTATCGTATTCGTTATGTTATCGTTTTCGCTTATACGTTATGTTATCTATTGATCGATTGTGATTGTTATTCGTTAGATTCGTATTGTAATCCTCAGGCAGTATGAAAAGTCTGCATAAGAACGACCCCAATCATTCCTGACACACGAAAACGAAATGACTTCAGTGTTGCAGCTCCAAGTCTGTGAAGGGTAGGACTCGATAAAACGAGTGACACGATACAATTTCTTGTCTCAATTTGTACGCAGTTTTACTATAATTTTTGACCTCTAGCGATTGGTATGCACCTTGCTATATTGAACGGTTTTTAGATTCGTGTGTCCCGATGTTCGATGTTTCCGCCCAATAAGGGCTAACTAATCTTCTTAGGTCTATTGGTAACAACTTCGGTCCCACTATTCGTAACGACATTTCTTTGATATTGCAGAAACGTCATAGCTTTCCGCCCGATCACAAATACATTTGTTTTACGTAATATATGTTCATCATGAAATACATAGTTTATAATATATATTTATACTGGATTAGCGTTGAATGAGAGCAGATATCAGATTAGTAGGGTTCGATGTGAGTATGAGAACACTTTTATCATAACGTTCATAACAAGTGTATTTTGTCATCCTATATTCTCAATTGTTTACTGTTAGTGCGGCGCAAGATGTTAATATATTAATGCCGTACTTTTTAAGTAATCCTGATCAACATCCTTGGTTAGAGAATATCATATCAATGCAAATGTTTAGCTGCTTTGCTCCCTTAATTCTCGGGACGACAATGCTAACAGGAATCTGAGAATGCCCGGTGTATGGCCGCAAGTTGAAGCCATTGTAATTATATTACGCGACCGGTGAAAGGGATTGGGATCATCATGTTGTAATTTTTTTCTTATCCTGCTGGCTCGCCTTTCTTGTCTACGCAGGGTGCCGAGAGGCCTGAGTTCATACCACACTCCACAGGCGAAGCGCGTCCGCCGCCGTCGGCCTCAGCTGAGCCAGCCTCGGAACTCGCAGCGACGGGAAGGTGAAATCGCCTTGTCTGTGCAGCTAGTAGGTGTTGCGCCGGCCCAGGCGATCGCAGCCGTAGAGAGCCGCCGCTGGAAGAGAGCCCGCCTTTCGCCCTGCGCGGCCGAAGGGATCGGAGGGGGCGAGAGGCAGCAGCCCGCCTGTCCCGCATGCGCAAGCTCGCTGGCCCGGGTGGGCCCGCTGCCGCTCGCCGCGCGCAGCAGGCTAGCGCGCAGGATGCACGAGCCCGCAACTGGCGACGGCAGCCCGCCGCAGGGCCAAAGAGCGCGCTGTCGCCGGCCGAAGCGCTGGCCTGCGGGCGCGATGGCCGCCCAGCAGAGGGCTGCCAGGCCGTCCACGAAGCCCGGAAAAACTTGACGCTGGCAGGAGACGCAGGGTCAGCAGGCGCGTCTCCGCCGCCGAGGCGATGACCGCGCGCCATGTCCTGCCGTCGCCACGCGCAGCGGCTCTGACAAGAGAAGCGGCGCTGGGGCTTGGGCTGCGACGCGAAGGCCAGCAAGTACTTCAGCCGCACGAAAGCCGATGGCGATACGTCTCCCCGCTGCAAGAACGAGCAGGGCAGCGCTGCGGAATTTGCCTGGCTGTGGCGGCGCCGAGGGCACAAGCTGCTTCCGCGTCCGAGGCGAGTGGCGGGCGGCGCGCTCCGGAGGCCCAGCGGCGGGAGCGATCACGGGGAGCGCCGCTGCTGGCTCTGGCGGCGGATCGCAAGGTCAGCAGGCGTTGTCGGCGGTCGCGCGCGTCTGGCGCGCGCCGCCACACCCGCATCGGAGCGCGTGGCGGCCTCGCAGGAGGCGTCGGCCTGGCGCCTGGCGGCGGCAGGAGGGGCAGCAAGCGCTGTCCGCGCCGAGTCGCTGGACGACCGTGGCGGCGCCACCGGCGGCGGGGCGCGCGGCGGGACGGCCGCGGGCAGCGGGGGGAGGACGGCACGCCGGCTGCCGGGGGCCGCCCACAGACGCTGTGTGCGGGCCGACGAGCCCCATGGCTTCCCATTTCGAGCGCCGGCCGCCGCCGGGCGGCGGGGCGCGGCGTCCCGAGCTTTGCCGGCGCGGCGCGGCCCGCCCCAAGCCACGCGCGGCGGCACTTGCTCGCCGCCGCGCGCCAGCACTCGGAGGCCGACGCAGCTCAGGCGGAGGACAGCCGCCGGAGTCGCTCTCGGGGTGGCGTCGTGCCGACCGAGGAGGTGGCCAGTCTGGCGGACGCGGTCCGCCGCGCCCATGCAAGGCGGCCCTGGAGGTCTGCGGCGGCGTTGGCGCTGGCCAAGGCGCGGGCCCCTCGCCCAGGGGGAAGCCGGCAGGCGCGCAGGCGCGCCACCCCGCCACCGCAAGAGCATGGGCGACATGGGCGCACGGCAAGCGTCGCGCGATATGCCTTCGTGCACTGTCGGACGAAACTAGAGGCAACAAATACGTTAAGGAACAGGCGGACACAAGACAATTGAAAACACAAGCAAAGGACAAAGAGCAATACAAATGTCAGAAGTTAAGACATACAGAATTGAAAATGAAACAACCTTGACGCCAAACAAGAAGAAAGGAGAAGAAGTCGAAACAGAAAGAAGAAAGCACAAACGGATGAAGCACGAAAAGCTAAGAAAGAGAATGAAAACAGGGGCCTAAAGTCAAGAAAAGACGGGAAGAAGGGAGATGGCAGACGCTAAGAAAAGGAAGAAGCTGAGCGCAAAAGAAGAAGAAAGAGAAGGAGGAAGCGAGGTTAAGAAAAAAGAAGGATGAGGAAGAGGCTAAGAAGAAGGAAAAGGCCGAAGCTGAGCCAAGAAAAAGAAAAAACAAGAGAGCGTGAGCAAAGGAAAAAGAAAGGAAGAGAAAGCAGGCAGAGTGCTTAAAAAGAAGAGGAATGGACAGGAAGCTGAGGCACAAAAAGAAGAAGAATGGAACAGGAGGATGCGGAACTATAAAGAAAAAGGAGAAGAGGCAAGAAGCTAAGAGGGAAAGAAATGGCCGAAGCTGAGACAAAGAAAAAGAGGGAAAAGACGAGGCTGAAGTAAGAAAAAGAAGGATCAGGAAGACCGCAGAGGCTAGGAAGAAGGAATGGAAAGAAGCTGAGGCAAAGAAAAAAAAGAGAAAAAGAGAAGGCTGAGCGCACACGAAAAAGGAAGAAGCAAGAGGCAAGCGCTGAGAGGAAGAAAGGCTCAAAATAAGAAGCTGAGGCAAAGAAGAAGAAGAAGAAATGGAGGAGGGCTGAGGCGAAGAAAAAGAAGGAGAGACAGAAGCTAAGGAGAATGGAAAATGCGGAAGCTGAGGCAAGGATGAAAGCAGAAAAAGAAGAGGCGAGGCTAAGACAAAGAAGGAAAAGGAAGAAGGTGACGCAAAGAAGAAGAAAGAAAAGAGGGAAGCGAAGCAAAGAAATGAAGGAAGAGGGCAGAGGCTAAGAAGAAGGAAAGGCGCAGCCTGAGGCAAAAATAAGCCAAGAACAAGAGGAGGGAGGAGAAAAGAAAAAGAAGGAAGAGGAAGAGGCAGAGGCCCTAAAGAAAAAGAAGGGAAAAGGAAGAAAGGCTGAGGGCAAAGAGAAGAAAGAGAAGGAGAAGCTGAGGCAAAGAAATGAAGGAAGAGGAATGAGGCAGAGATTGAAGAAGAAGGAAAAGGCGGCAGCTGAGGCAAAAGAAAATTAAGGAAGAGGAAGAGCAGAGATTAAGAAGAGGAAAAGGCGGCAGCTGAAGGCAAAGCAAAGCAAGAAAAGGGAGGCTAGCGCAAAGAAAAAGAAGAAGAGGAAGAGGCGAGGCTAAGAAAAAGAAGGAAAGGACGAAGCTGATGCAAAGAAGATGAAGAAAAAGGAGGAAGCTGAGGCAATAAGAAAAAGAAAGGAAAGAGGCTAAGAAAACGAAGGAAAGGAAGAAGCTGACGCAAAGAAAGAAGAAAGATAAAAGGAAGCTGAGAACGAAAAAAAAGTGATAGGACAGGAGGAAGGAGGCAGAGGCTAAGAAGAAAGGAAAAGGCATAGCAGGCTGAGGCAAAGAAAAAAGCAAGAAAAAGAGGAGGGAGGCAAAGAAAAAGAAGGAGTAGGAAGAGGCAGAGATGCTAAGAAAAGAAAGGAAAAAGGAAGAAGCTGAGGCGAAGCAAGAAGAACAGAGAAGGAGGAAGCTGAGGCAAAGAAAATGAAGGAAGAGGAAGCGGCAGAGATTTAAGAAGAAGGGAAAAGCGGGCAGCTGAGGCAAAGAAAAAGCAAGAAAAAGAGGAGTGCTGACGCAAAGAAAAAGAAGGAAGAGGAAGGCGGCAGAGGCTAAGAAAAATGTAACGGAAAAGAGGAAGAGGCTGATGCAAAGACGAAGAAAGAAAAGGAGGAAGACTGAGGCAAAGAAAAAGAAGGAAGAGAAGAGGCGCAGAGGCTAAGAAAAGAAGGAAAAGGAAGAAGCTGAGGCAAGAAGAAGAAAGAAAAGAGGAGGCTGAGGCAAAGGAAAAAGAAGGAAGAGGAGAAGAGAAGGGCTGAGAAAAAAGAAGGAAAAGGCAGAAGCTGAGGCAAAGAAGAAAGAAGAGAAGGAGGAAGGCCGAGGTTAGAAAAAGAAGGATGAGGAAGAGGCTAAGAAGAAGGAAAAAGCTGAAGCTGAGGCAAAGAAAAAGCAAGAAAAAGAAGACGCGGAGAGGCCAAAGAAAAGAAGGAAGGAGGCAGAGTCAGAGGCTAAGAAAAAGCGAAGGAAAAGGAGAGAGACAGAGGGCTAGAAAAAGACGGAAAGGAGGAAAGCTGAGGCAACGAAAAAGAAGGAAGAGGCAGAAGGGCTTAGAGGAAAAGAAGGCAAAGGAAGAAGCTGATGCAAAGAAGAAGAAAGAAAAGGAGGAAGCTGGAGGCAAAGAAAAAGAAGGAAGAGGAGAGGCATAAGAAAAGAAGGAAAAGGGAAGAAGCTGAGGGAAGAAGAAGAAGAAAATGGAGGAAAGCGTGAGGCAAGAAAAGAAGTGAAGATCATATGAGATTCGAAAGAGGAAGAGGCAGAGGCTAAGAAAAGAAGGAAAAGGAAGAAGCTGAAGGCAAAGAAGAAGAAAGAAAAAAGAGGAGGCTGGGAGGCAAGAAAAAGAATGAAGAGTTTAAGAGGCAGAGGCTAAGAAAAAAAAGGAAAAAGGAAAGAAGCTGAGGCCAAGAAGAGGAACAGAGAAGGGAGGAAGTCGAGGTTAAAGATAAAAGAAGGATGAGGAAGGAGGCTAAGAAGAAAGAAAAGGCCGAAGCTGAGGCAAAGAGAAAAGAAAGAAAAGAGGCTTGAGGCAAAGAAAAAGAAGGAAGAGGAAGAGGCCAGAGGCTAAGAAAAAGAAGGAAAAGGAAGAAGCTGATGCAAAGAAGAAGAAAAGAAAAGGATAGGAAGAATGCGCAAAGAAAAGAAGAAGAGGACAGACGGCAGAGGCTAAGAAAAAGAAGGAAAAGGAAGAAGTGAGGCAGAAGAAAGAGGAAAGAGCAAGGAGGAAGCTGACGCAAAGAAAATGAAGGAAGAGAAGTGCAGAGTATTAAGAAGAAGGAACAGGCGGCAGCTGATGGCGAAAGAAAAAGCAAGAAAAGAGGAGGGCTGACGCC